GGCCAAATTGAACATTATGGCAGGGCAGATTTGGCCCACGGGAATCACTTTAGCACTGCACACATACTATACACATACACACCAGAGGTGGGTGGTAACATACAATTACTTCAGTTGTTTTTCGAAGTGTCTGTACTTAAGTATTTCCTTTTCTGACAACTTTTTACTTTTACCTTCATTTTTACAGAAACATCTGTACTTTCTATTCCTTACATTTTAAGGTTTGTTACTTTAGTTTTAATGCATGTGAGGGAATTATCCATTTTATTTTATTTATTCTTATTGCATCATTCTCATCAACAAGATCAGTGCAGACCAGCAGGAGACATGACAAGATGAAACAGACAACAGAGGGAGGCTCAACCCTATTTGAAGTTCAGAAATGTCCTTCAGAGAAACCAAGAGAGTACTTTTTATTTTAATACTCTGAGTACATTTCAGAGCCTGTATTTTTCACTTTTACTTGAGTAAAGAAGTTGACTCAGTACTACTTTTACTGTCTTCTGCACTCTAAAAACAAATGTCTTGGCTCAACAAAGAAAACAGTTTCCATCTCTCATTTTGAATTGTGACAACACAGAAATAAATTATGTTCAACCAATGAACTATATTAAGTAAGGTGAATTAGCTTTTCCTCTACAATGGAAGGTATTTTTAATTACCACCTACTTAATAATTGGTAGCATAACACAAGTTCTTAAGTCGATTACTTATAAAATTAAGTTGTTCCAAATAGTTTCCCCACATTATTTAAAAGGCATTTTAAGTGGCATATACTTAATAACTTTAATAATAGTTTTTAAGTTGACACACATTTTTGAAATTTTGTTTATGTAAGAAATTAATTAATTCAATAACAAAACTGTTTGGCAATTAACTGTTTTTATGTTGAACTGCAGTTTAACAGTGTTTGAACACACAATATTTAAAACTTTGAAAACAATGACAACACAAATTTAAATTGTCACATACATGGCCACCATTCTTCTCAAGGTCCTGCAGTCTTTTTTACACATTAAAGACATTTAGATTAATTTTACAAAAACTGTAACAAACAGCAGCAGTCACTATCAAAGATGTCAAGCGAGGCCTGCCTCAAACACTTCTGTGTTCTTGTAAATTAAATGAAAAAATACATTGATTTATTAATACATTGGAAGTATTTTCCCATTCCATGTAGTGTAATATACTTACATTTTTAATCAACAAGGAGCAGGTTTCTGCCCTGTGTATTTACACTGCCCAATGTGGTTTTCATTTTCTTTCAAGATGTTGAATTACTTACTCTAAATTTCCTTGAAAACGGTCCTCTTCCTTCTCTCCAAGGCAGTGGATAGCTACGTCTCTGTGTACTACAATTGTATTGGGCTATTTTAAAAAAGGAAAAAAGGTATCAAAAGAAAGTAACTAACCAAATATATATACGAAGATCAGACAATAAGACGGGCCAGTCAAGTACCCTGCTAAATTATTAATATTTATCCAGTTTAATAAATACAAACAACAATGTAGTTTACAGCTAAACACATAGGAAGTATCATGCTATTCCTCTCCATGGCTCATATAAAAAGCTTTCTCAAGCTGAGCCAATTTGCCAAATAAAACGTTATCATTCGTATCCACTGCTATGCTGCACTAAAGGGTAGAATGGCTAAACTGCACTGCTAATTATGATTAGCCTTAACTATGTTTATTAGTACAACATATACCATTAACTGTATAAACAAATGTACCCTAACCTCCAGTCACAAATCCACTGCTGGTCAAATCACAATTGAGAATATGCCCAAATTCTTGCAAGAATTTATTTGCAAATAAAATGACACTCACCTCAGAAATGTCCCTTGTGTATCGTATTCGCTCGGCATACAGGTCCTCCAACAGAGAGTCTTAACTGTCTGAATTTGCCCAGGCATGTGATGTGGGCAGGAGAGGGGACTTGAAATGCTGAACTCAAGGTGGAGAAAAATTAATTTATCAAGCAAATTTTATTAAGTTGTTACAACTTGACTTTTGTTTTGAACCAATTAACGCAGAAATGTTAGTTCAAATTATGCACAATATTAAGTTGACGTAATTACCAACATTATTATATCAACTCATAAAAAATGTTTGCAACTTAAAAGGTCGATCTAAATCAATATATTAGCATTTTTAACTTGAAATCATGCATTTAATTAAGTGGTGACAATAGGGCCACTGAGTTACTTTTTAGAGTGTGCTTGAGTAAAGAATGTGAGTACCACCTCTGATTCATACACGCATACACATATATATGTATTTACAGTTATTGTGTCCTGTGCATCCCTGTGTTTTATGTCTTTGAGTAGTGTTGTTGTGTGTCTGCAGACAGTTTGTGATGAAGGATTAGTGTTTATGAACAAGTGTGTTACGTGTTTCACATGTTAACTGCTGTGTCAGATAAGGTGGTTTTCAAAGTTGCTCATTTGAATGAATGAATCATGGAAAGACAAGATAAAAATCTTGTTAATTTGCATTTTTATTTTTCATCATTGCGTCATTGAAACTTTATTTGTCACACCACTTATGTTAAATGGAGTTCCTTTTCTATAATCAAATGCTTGTTTCTTTATTTGTTTTGTATTTAGAGCGGGGATTAATTTCACTGATTATTTATAAATTTTTTGGTTGAATGAAATTCAGTGTATCCAAAACAACAGCCGTGTTTGTGCAGCTTCTAATTTTCAGTTTGTGTTGGCACCTGTTTACCATGCAATACAATGCAACAGCAACCACACTGTAAAATCTTCCATCAGTCAATAAATCAAATGTTACCATAAACTAGTTTTAAATCTATTATACCTTATTTGTTCCAGCTGAATTCATCTTGTTCTCACATTCAGGGCTATTTCAGAACAATAATAATTAGTTTGGTCTAATAATCTAATGATGAGCTGATGAAATGTAGAACCGTTGTTCAGAAACATGGTTAGCTCAGCATACTACTCTGCATTGTATTGATCTTAAAATTCTCCAGAATGCCTTGTTTTTTCTACATTAAAGAAAGTTACATAATAAAAGCTGTCTCAGATGAGTCAAGTTCAATCAAAATTCGATCAAAATTTAAGCAGCGAGAACTATGATGAAATTAGGGAACCAACCACTCCTGCACTCTTTTACTCATTTAAATCAGGTGTCATATCTTTCAGTACTGATCTGAATGTAGCTGTTAGGAACAGAGCAAAATATGTGACAACTAATGGGGATGATGTAGTTCATCAGGGGATGAGAAATTACACTTTTACTATTGTTAAAATAAAATAAAATAAAAGCCAAAGACACTTTGGGTTGGTGGCTTGAAGATAATGAGGATAATTGTTGAATCTCATTCCCACTGTCGATACTTGACGACCTGGGAATGAGACATAACAATCAACTATCTTTCTCAGCTCTAATTGGTTATTTTCATTCAGGCCCAGTAGATTCTTGCAAATACCACTAGGAGCACTAGGGGAAGCCAGAGGAACCTGATTTTTTCACAGATTATCTGTCTCATATTCTACTGTCAGGATATAGTTAAAGTTTCAGCAGATATGACAAAAAGTAATTTTTATATAAGTTACCTACTGCACCTTTAAAAGTATTCAATGTCCCCTGTGACTGGTACTATTATATAGCATTAGATTATTATTATTAAAGCCCCATTATATGACTTTCTACCTTAAAATAACAGCTTCAATATCATGTTGATGTTAGACTGACCTGTAATAGGGTTAATGGTGCCTCTGTCATTCCCACTATATGCCCTGTATGCATGTTCTCACACTGTGTAACTTTTGGCTCCAGATATGATCTCCTACCAGAAGATAAACACTTTACAGCACTGTTCTTTTTCTGGTCTGATTTGGGCCACTTCCATAAATGGTCTAAATCAGACACAGGTCACATTTTTTGCAGTGCAACCTCAGTGTGACTAGTCATATCAGAATTCATGTGACTTTTATATCAATCTAGATCCATGTTCGTCATGCGGGTCAACACATGTTGTGTTAACACATGACTGGATTCTGTCCACAGAAACAACAGAGAGCATTTCATCAAAAATAAGTTTGAGAAAATAGATTTTGTTTTTCTTGTCTGTGACATATTTTTACAGATACAGACATTGAAACTATAGTGACTGGCGTGTACGTTGCTGGTATAATGTGAATATGACTATGAACTGACCCTTTTCACTGTCTATATTTAGAGCTGCCAACCTTGGGAAAATAGAGAACCACAATAACACTTTCTCACCACTTTGCTTTGCACATGGTAATTTCCCCACTCACAGCCATTCAAAGTTATTCAAAATATAAATCAGCTATGAAAAAAACAACTATTTCCATTTTATGCTGCTTTGGAATAATACTCCACTACATTTTTGAGGTTAATAAATATTTATGTTTTACACTAAGTTTAATCTACAGTTACCAGTTCAGTAATATTTTATTTTGAAAAGATTTAATCCTCCTCATAAAATAAAATAATGTAAGAGCACTGTTAAAGATTAAACCAGGGGTTCCAATACTGTTCTTTGCCAAGGCCCAGGGTGCAAACTACATGGGAGCCAGGGGGAGCTGGGCTCCTCTGTAGTGTAAAAGCGATTTGAGCGGTCGGAAAACTAGAAAAACACTATACAAATACAGTCCATTTACCATTTATTCTTAATAAGACATGAGCTCCCGTGAAAACACAATTTTGAGGGGTCTCTGAAAACACTGACAATGTGCTATTTTTGTCATGCATTTCTATTTTTCTATATCTTCATCATTATGGATTATGTGTAAAATGTGCCGAATCGCCGTTATTTATTTATTTCTCTGTTTTGTAATCAAAATATTGTGCATTTATTTAGGTGTAAGTAATTGTAAGGACACACACATTTAACATTGACTGACTACAGATGACCCAAGTCCCAGCCAGTCACTCCTTGTCCATGTCCTGTTTCAGTTTTTTTAAGATATATTTTTGGGCTTTTTATGTCTTTATTTTGATAGGACAGGTAAAGAGAGACAGGAAATGGGAGAGAGAAAGAGTACGACACACAGCAAAGGGGGGCGGTTGGAATTGAACCTGGGCCTCCTCGTCCCTTTTTTTTTATGGATTTCCATTTACCACAGTTATGAGGAACTGACATGCTTTTATACAGGTGAGGGTGCACAGTGAATGAAGTGGGAGTTCCTTCTCTGTGTGTGTGTTCCCTGCAAAAACAAATTAATTTAGAATTTCAATGGGACTTAAATCCTTGATTCAGTTGCTACACTCTGGCTAACTATTACCTAACAATTTTCAGACTTTTCTGGGTCAAATTCGGGCCCGTGGGTGCTGTGGTAACAAAGGAAATTAGGTGAGTCACATCTCAAAATTCCCTTTTTTTAGAATCAAATAAATCGAAACTATATGAAAGTGAAAATAACCAGGATTCTCTCACTCAGTCTGGTATATCATTCTGTTGTTGAGCTTGTTGGAGTTCATGTGAATTAACAAGGAAGTGTTGTCATTACCGACAGTTTCAGGTCAAGTGCAGTTAGTGAAACAGCCCACATTTCTCACAAGGCCTATTGCTGTGTGACTGTTCTGTCCATACATAGCAGATTTACGATAAATTAAAACACTTTCCTTATTCTCCACCTTATAATTAACAATGGCCAAACACATACTTTTCCTTTTACACTGTTCATCAGCAGTGTTGGGTAATAACTGATTACATATAATCAGGATTACATAAACAGATTACAAAAAATAATCATAAGAATCAATTAATAATCAACCCATATCACACTAGATTATAGTTGTTTTCAAGGATTACCTGATTACTTTTCACGACAACCAATGGTCTAACTCATAAAAAGCACGTCTGAGGCCTCATCTCTCCTGTACTAGCTACTCTGCATTGGCTCCCTGTAAAATGTAGAATAGAATTTAAAATCCTCCTCCTCACCTATAAAGCTCTTCATGGTCAGGCCCCTTCATATCTTAAAGAGCTCATAGTACCCTATTACCCCACTAGAACATTACGTTCTCTAAATGCAGGGCTACTTGTGGTTCCTATAGTCTCTAAAAGTAGAACAGGAGCCAGAGCCTTCAGTTACCAAGCTCCTCTCCTGTGGAACCAGCTTCCAGTTGTGGTTCGGGAGGCAGACACCCTCACCACATTCAAGAGTAGGCTTAAGACATTCCTCTTTGATAAAGTTTATAGTTAGGGCTGGATCAGGTGAGTCCTGAACCATCCCTTAGTTATGCTGCTATAGGCCTAGACTATCGGGGGATTTCCCATGGTGCACTGAGCTACTCTCTTCCTCTCTCTTTCTGCACTCATTCATGTCCCATTAATGCATGTTACTAACTCCACTTCTTCCCCGGAGTTCTTGTGCTTTCTCGTCTCGCAGGTTCTCATGGATCCTGGTGGAGCCTCCTGCCATGGTCCTGCTTGACTGCCATTGCCAATACTGTTGTTGCTGTGCACCTGTCTGTCTGTCTGTCTCTCGCTCTCTCTCTCTCTCTCTCTCTCTCTCTCTCTCTCTCTCTCTCTCTCTCTCTCACCCAAGGGAGACAGAGACCACCCACCAGAGCCGGAGGATCTGTCCTAGGTTTCTGCCTTTTAACAGGCAGTTTTTCCTTGCCCTTGTCGCCAAGTGCTTGCTCATGGTGGTACTGTTGGGTCTCTGTAAATAATGTTATAACGAGTTCGGTCTAGACCTGCTCTATTTGAAAAGTGTCCTGAGATAACTTCTGTTATGAATTGGCGCTATACAAATAAAATTGAATTGAATTGAATTGAATTTATAATACTGTTCTTAGACTTATAGTAAGACATTTTTTTGATGATGTGCTTTGATTTGGTTCATAAAACATACTGAGCATTAAAATCCTTGCTTACGCAGTTTCTACGAAGCCGATTTGTAACTTACACACCTGTGATCTATAAATCTCAGATAAACTTCAAATTGACTGCACCTGCCTCATTGAATACCCCTTATATAATGCTAGCACAGATTAGGGTTTAGTCAGGAATAGCCATGGACCAAAAGACACACGATAGACAGTGAATGTACAGTGTTATGAGATGAGATGAGATCTTCATTTTGAAACTGTTCTTCTCTCGTTCTCAGTCTTCTCACACTAAGTGCAGCTAACCAATGGAGGCTGAGCGAGCTGAGGAGATTAAATGTTTGTACAGAATAAAGTGTATCTTTATGGATTATATTGATGCTGAGTTGACAAGAAGACAGTTGACATATGACGGCCTTCAGCTTGTGTTTCTAGAGTGGTGTGTTTTTATGGACACTTAAGGAATTGTTAAAATGTGATAATTATAAGGGATTTGTGGAGTGGTGTAATATGTATAGCTTTTCTAACTGTATGTTTTTCACCACTACACACTAAAGTATAATAAGGTTTTCTGACTGCTGTTAGTTATTGATTTGATTAATGGTTTAATAATTATTATTTAATAAGAGTATTGATTACTGACAGTGGTTGATCAGGCTAATTATCATCTAATTGTACTCAGTTTCTAACAGCAGTATGCAGTAAGTGGTTGCCCTTTTTCCTGCATTTATCTGTAAATAAATAAGGGGGGAGATGGTAACTCCTGTCTCTATTCAAAGATGATTTCTGGTATCCGATTGAAATTGATCTTTCTCTACTCGTCCACTGACTCCCGGTCTCTGACCTTTGACCTCTTCCCAGTGGATACTGTGAGGGGTTTTGGTGTGATGACAGCTTATGTTGTCTATCTTCACTGTTCTTGTCCAGTACGACCCTGCTGAGTCACTGAAGTGTTATCTTCATCCCAACAGGTTTCTCTGCTATGTACTCAACATTTGCTTTATTCCAGGAGTAGAGTGGTTGTGGTGAGCGATTTTCAGTGCCCAGCTTCCAGCAGAGCAGACAGCTGTTGATGCATAAAACCCACAACACACAAAAACACAACTGACAGGCTATGAGGAAGGAAGTGATCCAGGCCATACTGTGAAGCTTTCCATGTCATCACCACTGACACATGTTCCAGTGACCTCAGCTAACTGCAGCACAGTGGGCTGCAGATGTGGATCGGAGTAGCCTCCCCTGCATGATTTCCATTAACATACATGGAGCACTGCTGCAACTGCCTCGTTAATCAACACATTCATTATCATCATTATCAACACTGACAGTATGCTTAAAGCTAGAATATGTAACATTTCCACATTAAACCATGTATAAACTCTAGCTCTTTGTTCTGTATGTAGTTGAGTGGTGTTACATTATCCCAAATATTTCCAACAATGTTCAAACTCATTTTATTCAGGTAACGCTGCGTTTCACCGGTCGCCTGTCCTGTCAATGGCGTTATATCCCCTTTGTGCATGCATCAGTGTTGTGGTTGTCTGCCAGAAGCTGTCATACATTGACTGTTTATCCAGTCTGAAGCCACATTGTTACCATCCACTGTTTAGATCTTGGTGCTTTTTAACTGATGAAGGATTTTAGTCATCGGACATCTGGATCTTAAGTTATCAGAGAAATAAGCTGAGCTAACGTTAGCAGCAGCTCGGCTCACAGCAGCTCGGCTCACAGCCCCTCTGGGACGTCAACAGAAACAGTGATTTTTAAGGTGGAACTGCTTTATTCAGTGTTTTTAGCGGTTTAAATCAGCATTCGTTTTGGAGAGGAGGAGACCTCTGTGGATAATTGGGCTCCCAGTAGAAACCTCCTAAACAATCCACATTTAAGAGTAGGCTTAAGACATTCCTCTTTGATAAAGCTTATAGTTAGGGCTGGATCAGGTGAGTCCTGAACTATCCCTTAGTTATGCTGCTATAGGCCTAGACTATCGGGGGATTTCCCATGGTGCACTGAGCTCCTCTCTTTCTCTCTCTCTTTCTGCACTCATTTATGTCCCATTAATGTATGTCACTAACTTCACTTCTTCCCCAGAGTTCTTGTGCTTTCTCGTCTCGCAGGTTCTCATGGATCCTGGTGGAGCCTCCTGCCATGGTCCTGCTTGACTGCCATTGCTAATATCACTGATATTATTGTTATTATTATCAATATCATTATAACTACAGCTACTATTATTACTATTGTCACTGCTCATTGTCCCACATCGTTGCTACGTCGTCGTCGTCATCTACTATTAGTGTGGTTGTTGCTACTGTTGTTGTTGCTGTGCAACTGTCTGTCTGTCTCTGTCTCTCTCTCTCTCTCTCTCTCTCTCTCTCTCTCTACATATTGTACGTTTAAGGTAGGACTATATGGATACTGTTTATTGACTAAAAATGTCTTCAAAAAACTGAAAACACTGATTACTGAACTTTTCCAACTGTTAATAATAATAAATAATAGCTTATTGATATTCAAGCTGTAGTAGGTAACTTAGGACAGAAGTGCATTAAGACAAGATATAGGAGAAATACAAGACAATATAAAAGAACACATAAAAAAGATTTTAAAAGAAAGGAATAGCTCACCATGTTAATGTGAGATAATATCAATCTCACGTGTGAGAGTACTGAGCTGAAGGATGTGGTTAGCAGTCAGTGCCTCCATCTGCAGTCACGCCTTCTGTGCTGGTGCAAGGCATTTGGTCACTAATTCAAGGTACTATGCCGTGTTATTAAATGTGTGTGGTTTTTGTTACAGTGCAGACATCTTATTAACTTTTGTTTATGTCTATGCAGTTTGCTAACGTTGTTCTGGTTATTTAAAAACAACATTAAGAGTATACAGACATGTTAGCGGCTTAGGGATAGCGGTGCTTTGAGCTAAATGATAGGTATAGCCTGCCAATATGCTAACACAGTGACAATGCTAACATGTTGATGTAAAGCAGGTGTAATGTTTACCATTATCACCCTTGGTAATAACAATAAAACACAAATGAGACTGATTAGAATTAGGTTTTGCAGGAGTTTGGTCCTAAAAGTTTGACCTGATGATGACAGTAGACAAAAAGTCAGAGGATCATCAAATGGGTTACAATTCATCTTGAGGGAAACATGAATATTTCTACCACATTTCATGAACACCTATCCAATTGGTGTTGAGATATTTCAAAACAAAAGCAACAAATGTCTGCATCATGATGGTGATACAGGTCAGTGGATCAAAGTCAGTATGATTCATCCTCTGGGAACCATAAATGTCTGTAGGCTACAAAGTGCAATAGCCTGCTTCAGTCTGGGCCAGGTTCCACTGACAGGAAGACATTGTCAGGCCCAGAATTGTATCGTTTTAGGAGCAAGGCCGCTTGGTCTTTGGTGAAGGGGCTAATTTATAGAAATATTCATGGGGTGTCCAAAGGTTGGCATTGGGAAGAATCTGCTGATTTAAGGACAATCACATGCAAATGTTAGATACAACATTTGCATGTGCATTTGCATGTTAGATACAACGAAGATACTGGAACTCATAAAGATTACATTGTGGGGCGGCTGTGGCTCAGAGGTAGAGCGGGTTGTCCACTAATCAGAAGGTTGTTGGTTGTTGTTCGACCGCATGTCGTAGTATCCTTGAGCAAGATACTGAACCCCAAATTGCTCCGGATGCTGTGCATCGGTGTGTAATGATAATGTGTATGAATGTGTTAATGTGTCTCTGTTCGATGGGCTTTGCCATCACTGTGTGAATGTGTGTGAAAGGGTGAATGTGGCACGTAGTGTAAAAGCGCTTTGAGTGGACGGAAGACTAGAAAGGTGCTATACAAGTACAGGTCCATTTACCATTTACATTTGTAACATCTAAAAGTAGCATTTAGAAATAAATAAATATCTTACATATTTTCCCAAATACATATCTGAATTCTGTCATTGAACTTACAGCAGCAGTAGGTAACTTTTATAATAAAATAATAATAAATCTTAATACATATTTTTTTTTGTTGTATTTGCTAAAATTTTCACTATATCCAGTAGTACACAAGACATAATGGACTTTGCCATCACTGTGTGAATGTGTGTGAAAGGGTGAATGTGGCACGTAGTGTAAAAGCGCTTTGAGTGGTCGGAAGACTAGAAAGGCGCTATACAAGTACAGGTCCATTTACCATTTACCATAATCTGTGAAAAAATTTGGTTCCTCTTGCTCTCCCTACTGCTCCTAATGGAATTCGCAAGAATCCCCTGGGCCTCATCGAAAACAACCAATCAGTGCCAAGAAAGATAGCTGATTGTTAAGTCTCATACCTGAGGCGTCAAATACAGATGCTTTCAGACCCCGGGAATGAGTCTCAACAATATCTAACATCTTCAAGCCTCCAACCCAAAGCGTCTTTATATCTTTTTCGGCTCTGATTGGTTGTTTTCGTCCTGGCCTCGTAGATTCTTGCAAATGCTATTAGGAGCACTAGGAGGAGCCAGAAGAACCTGATGTTTACACAGATTATCCGTCCCACGTACTACTGTCAGGATATAGTTAAAGTTTCAGCTAATATGACAAAGAAATGTTTTATCAAAAGTACCTCTGCAGCTTTAAGCTTATCATTAACATATCATTCAATTAATGTGTCAATTTCCGTTTTTTAACACTTTATTTTTAAAATTAATCTAAATAAATGTGGTAAATTTAGCAGCATTCGGCACTAAACTGGGGTGGCCAGGCATTTTTAAGGGGGCACCCCATGCCACCCCCCTAGGTCTACCCCTGCTTTTGTGTCCAGGGTTCAGTAGGATTTTATTTCTTAAGCAACGGGGTCAGTTAAGTCAATGTTTGAAGGGACATACAAGAAATGCATAACAGTATATGTTAAGATTCTTGTTATATTTGTTCACTCGTTTATCACCCCAGCTCAGTCAACCTTCTTTCTTGCTTTCTTTCTTTCTTAAGTTCACTTAGTCACAGCTTTGCAGCACTGGCATATCAGGATGAGTTTAAATAAAAACAGCAGTTTGTAGGATAAGTGGTAGCCTATCTAATGGTGAAGTTGCAGCATAATGATAATAATAATAATAATAATAATAATAATAATAATAATAATAATAATAATAATAATTTAAAAGTGTATTGATTGGTGGTGGCTATAGTGGGCCCCCATCCTCCAAAAAGCTTTGGGCTATCCCGGTCCATAGAATGACCAAAACATACAGTGATCTAAGTCAACAATTAAAAATAAATAAATAAATAATAATAATAATAATAATAATAATAATAATAATAAAATAATAATAAAGCCTCAAAAAAGGCATCTGAAATTTGGGAATAATAATAATTCCTTCAATTACAATAGGGCCTTTGCACGATTTGTGCTGTGGCCCTAATTAATATTTTTAAAGTGCATTTGGGCTCCATGGTGGGGCTATAGTGGGCTAAAGCCCCCATCCTCCGGAGAGCTTCGGGCTGGCCCTGTCCATGGGACATTCAGACGGGATTCTATTAGTGCCGACACCAGCAGACTGGATGCTGCGCTTATTCCCGAAACCTGCGCGTCCACCTGCCAGCGACCCCGCCGGAGCAGGCGTCTGATCTGGGAGTTCTCCATCCACAGTGTCTCCCTCCTATCCGCCTGTTTGTGACGCCTGGCCGCTGCCGGGCTGCGGGACAGAATGAGGATTGGCCTCTGTGTCATCCCGCAGCCCGAACCTGCCTGCTTGGGGCTATTTGGCCTTAGTGTGTTAGCTAGCAGAGAGATTTGGTTCTGACCAGAAGCCCTTGGATCGTGTCGGCATGCTAACAGATTTCATGAACCACAACCGTGAGGTGTCCCTCGGCTCGACTGGAACAATGCGAAAGGAAGTGCGGCGGCGGATCGACAGGGTTTCCGAAAACTACGAGCAGGAAATACCCCACAGGGCGTCTGCTGGTGTCTGTCAGCTCCAGGAAAAGATGAGTTTACAAATGCTACTCTAGGATACTACCTGCGGTTTATGATTCAGCACTGGAAATACGAGCTGACACCAGACACAGCAAAATCGGAATGGTGATGCTGTCACCGGGACTGGGATTTACTGGCGCCCCGGCAGCTCCAGTGGAAAACACGGAGACATGATATGCACAAGAAAAAGAGGAAACGCAGCTTTGGCTTCTTTAAACCCTTTGTTTTTTAAAGGGAGTCCGCAACAGGCTTCAATAAACAGCTTTCACAGAGATCTGGACCGTTGACACAGCTGTGAGCTGCTGCTGCTGCCTTATTCACCAGCTGTTTCCACATAGTCGTTTTTCTGTGGGAACATCCAGGTGGATTGCTGTGTTTCATTGTAACAGACGGCCCTGCCTGCCATAGTGTGGAGGACAAGCAGCCCACAGCAGGTAAGCAGCACAACATGACTACCATTTTGTATTGCCTACAGGTCCCTGGTCTGCAAAATGTCATGCTGCCTGCCTCTGCATTCCTGCATGCCATTTATTTGTGAGTAATAAGCTCTTGCTGTGGTCTTTCTGGCTGCCTCGTACAGGCCCAGACTATTGCAGCTCACTGGGACTGGGGTCTTTTGTCTGCCTCAGCCTCTTCAGAGTATTCATATAATGAGGGGTCGCATTATGCAGAGCTGATCCTGATATTTGATGCATGCATTACAGCAGCATAGAGTGGTCAGTATGAGGCTGTGTTGATGATAAATAAGATTCCCAGCAGCCATAGACCACCTCTCAGCTCAGGGACCACCAAGTGATTTCATAAAATGTGGTGTAATGTGTCCTGAAGGAATACTGACTATGTGGTGTGGGGTTTTGAGCCATTAGGCTCCTTTATACTAGACTGCAGCAGCTGGTGGCTATCCAGTCCTCTTCAGACCTTTAGGCTCCATGTGAGGAGGCCTGATGCTGGGCCCCGCTGTCAGACACCAACTCTGTCTACATCTCATCCAGTGAGCTTTGTCGCCTCCTCCCACCGACATCAAGCCAGAGGTATTGGGCTGCTGTTGCTACCCAGTTCCTGACAGTGACTCTGCCCTCCGCCGCCAACCAACTTCCAGCTTCACAAAGCCCCTCCTTCAAGACACACAGCCTCTCTCACAGTTCCCCTCAGCTCCCAGCCTGTGGAGCTATGAGGGCTGCAACTCCAAAAAAATGATCAAATAAAAACACTTCCTGGAAGTGTAGTTGGTTTTATACATTTGATTTTGATTTGCTTTATTGTTCATCACACTCTGTTTTCCATTCACCATTCAGCATTTACGCACACATCAAGTAATTTCTTCAAGTTAGCATTCTCAAATTAGATTTCCTCAAAGGCTCTCCCTCCTCTTCAAAGACAGCTGATGTGAAACTGCACTGACACATATCAGTCTAATGATTAATTCAATTATTCATTCAGACATTCACTGTCCTACATTCAGAGAAAAGGCGACATCAACATTCTCCGTGGTTTGCTTTTATCTCTAGTTATTTGTTGGCAGACATGTTTCAGCCTCTCCTGTTGTGTTAAAGCTGCAGTAGGTAACTTTTATAAAAATAACTTTTTGTCATGTTTGCTGAAAATGTCACTATATCCTGACAGTAGTACATGAGACAGATAATCTGTCAAAAAATAAAATAAAATAAAAAAATGTAATACAGCCAATCAAAGCAGAGAAAGATGGATGATTGTTGAGTCTCATTCCCAGTGTTGGTATTTGACGACCTGGGAATGAGACTCAACAATCAGTTACCTTTCTTGGCTCTGATTGGTTGTTTTCATTCTTGCAAAAGCCCTTAGAGCACTGGGATTCAATTCAATTCAGTTCAATTTTTTAATTCTGATGGTGATGATGATGATGACAACAACAACGATGGGGGACAATGAGCAGTGATTAAAGTAATAATAGTATCTGTAGTAATAATAATAATAGTAATAATAATAATAATAACAATAATATCAGTAATATTAGCAATGGGAGTCAAGCAGGACCATGACAGGAGGCTCCACCAGGATCCATGAGAACTTGCGAGACGAGAAAGCACAAGAACTTTGCGGTGGAGCCAGAGAAACCTAAAAACATTGTAGCAGATATGCACCACTAACTGTGTCAGCCACTGCCAGTTACAAGCTAACAAACAACATGAACAAATAACACACTACACTAACCATTCTTATGGGCTAGTCTCGGATTTTGGCTCGAACATGGATGCTATGGCTTAATCTCTCCAATGTTTCCTCTGACACTAGCCATCTTAATGCTAACTGCTTTTTGACTGATCAACCTAGCAAGCAGCGCTGGTGAGTGCAGTATCCATAGATCCAGAATTTCTTAATGAGAGAGAACCCCTTTTCTGAGTTTCTTTTTTATTTACTTTTTACTTTTTTATGTTTGAAAATAGTGTTAAACACTATGAATCATAGCAGTGTATTATTCATTCTTTAAAACGTGTCTGGAGGGGAAATTTAATTTCTGACTTGCTACCCAGCTAAACCCCGCAGTATTCTCCACACAAAAATGCATTTTACAAAACAACTCTGCTCAGGGTCCATTTTTTTGTTGGAGCTTTTGACTGTATTACAGAGTCTTCATCAACTGATTACATTTGTTCAGTTGTCATTGAACTGTAGATGTTCAAACTTTCCATACTGTGCCCAATTTATATTCCCAAAAGTAAATGTGTTAACATTCCTTCGTTGATGTTATGCAGTAGTCCAGCAAAAGCTGGATGTTTTTAGTGCGCCTGCAGACATTTCAGACTTGTCATAGCAGTGAAAGCAAAGGTGTACCAAAAAACAACCAGTGAGTAACATTTGGGAAGATCTATTAGCAGAAATGGAATAAAAGGAAATCATGGAAATGTAATTTATCTTTGTACAACACAAGGTTGTAGTGTCCATCCACTGTGACTGCGTTTGAGCACCAAGCATCATTGATTTAAATGGTATTCACCTCCTCTTGTCCTGCAATACGGGTTGTTGATGGAGCAGGTCTCCGTAAAGATGTGGACATAACAGTCTCTGATTTCCCGTTGTTTGGTCAGACCCTTTCATCCAGACTGGAGCAGCCTTAAGTCCAAGCTAGGCCAACACAGCTCCTATTTGGCTCTCTACCTCTCCTCCTGGGGCAACAGCACCCGCTGTGTTGGACTGGTCTTGTTAAGCTCGCTAGGAGGATCGTTGCTTCTTTTTCTGATGAAGCAATTTTTTTCTTTCTGGGGGTAGGCTGTATCTCACAATCACACCCACGCAGTTTATAAAACTAGTATAGTAGCTTGAGTTTCTTTGTTCTTTGGACCGTATTCATCTCCACCATTACTCCTTCTTGTTGCAAGTTTCCAGCAGCATAGTAAGCAAGAGTTTGATGCCATTGTTTTGCAATGAGAGAAAAACTTGTCAGAAAAACATGCTGGCATTAATAAAAGGAATTGATAAGCGCAGTGATTCTAAAGGATCGGACAATTTGAAACCAGTTCTCTATTCTCATCCTCTGCCCACATCACACAGGCCCCTTTTCTACTAAATTAGTTCTGGTTCTTGAAATTTTTTCAAGATTCCTGAAACCTTGGTGCTGTCTAGTGAACCAGCCCGTGTTCCTGCCAGTTTTCAGTGGAACCATAGTAATCGGATGCGTCATCAACAGAGGGTGCTGCAGTGGACCACAACCTATAGAATAGGACGTGCCAACTGTTCGGGTTCTGAAGCAATTTATTTTTGGTTGAAATGCTGACCGAATGGTTGAAAACAGAACTCCTAACTGGGTGAAAGTAGTCAGGGTGTGAACTTTTATCTCAAGCTCTCTTTTTTCTTCTTCCATCATTCACACAACTCTTCTGTCACTTTTCGTTTTTGTGTGTGTGAACAGCCCGGTGCAACATTATTCAATGAATTCAAGGAAAAACTAAAAGTGGGCGCAGTTATCCCAATTTCATCCAATTTACCTAATTTACAATTTATTGTGTCGCAACAACTTAGACAAAAAGAATTATTACACTGTCCCCCTGTGTGGTCTTGTGTTCCCATGGAGGTCAATACCTCGTTGATGAAAGCTTTCATACAGACAGAGACTGGCCAGACAACAAGTGTGTCTAAACTTTGCTGATGTACAAGTCTACTGAAATATGCCTCAAGGTTCATAATTTTTGTTTTTTTATCCATCTTCACTTTGATTGCCATCAGATTTTTTCACTTTCTTTTTTCAATCTTGCATCATCCTCTTACCTGGTTTTATTCCCACTTTATTCAAAGCTATGTGGTGCTCAAGTAATATATGTATAAATGTAAGCCTTAAAACCTTTACCAGACAATGAACACTGGGTTGGTTACTCTGAATGGGCTGTTTCAAATCATTACTTGACTTTATTACACTATATTCCCTCTGTATTAAGTGTATTATTGATTTAACTGATTTGGTGTGGCACTACCTAGATGACTGAAATGACCATAGACACATCTAGCAGCTGACCCATCCAAACTCCTAATTCTTTGTCTTCTTTGTCTAGGAGCCAGAGGTGAGACAACATAACACCAACAAAGGGACCCTGCTCGAAATGGGGCGATGTGGATTGAGGTGTTCCTTTTTCTTGTGAACTGTCGAAAGGAAGCAACCACGAGGACTAAGGAACAACTAGCAGACGGAGGAGGTGGTAGAGGAGTGGTGGCTTTGGTGTCTGAAGAAAAGGTGGTATGGGTGGGGGGGCATTCGGGATGGCAAATGGAAATGAGAGCAGTGAAGGGCCTGCTGGGCCCATGGCAGCAGTGGTGGCTACCGCAGGTGGGATGGTAGCAGAGAGTCCTTCCTCAGCTGTCTCTACCTATATCAAACTGGTGCTGCTGGGGCTGATCATCTGCATCAGCTTGGTGGGCAACCTGGTGGTGTCTCTGCTCGTACTGCGGGACCGGGCCCTGCACAAGGCACCTTACTACTTCCTGCTAGACCTGTGCCTGGCAGACACCATTCGATCCGCCATCTGCTTCCCCTTCGTACTGGTCTCTATCAAGAATGGCTCGGCCTGGACCTACAGCGTGCTGAGCTGCAAGGTGGTAGCCTTCATGGCAGTGCTCTTCTGTTTCCATGCCGCCTTCATGCTGTTCTGCATCAGTGTTACACGCTACATGGCCATTGCACACCACCGCTTTTACTCAAAGCGCATGACATTCTGGACATGTGTGGCAGTGGTGTGCATGGTTTGGACACTGTCTGTGGCGATGGCTTTCCCACCTGTTTTTGATGTGGGCACCTACAAATTCATTCGTGAGGAGGACCAGTGCATCTTTGAGCACCGCTACTTCAAGGCTAATGATACTCTAGGTTTTATGCTAATGCTGGCTGTGCTCATTCTAGCCACACATGTTGTCTACATGAAGTTACTCCTCTTTGAGTACAAGCACCGCAAGATGAAGCCGGTCCAGATGGTGCCAGCCATCAGTCAGAACTGGACCTTCCATGGGCCGGGGGCTACCGGCCAAGCGGCAGCCAATTGGATTGCAGGCTTTGGCAGGGGTCCAATGCCACCCACTCTGCTGGGAATTCGGCAGAACTTGCACAACCAGAACCGGCGCCTGTTGGGCATGGAGGAATTCAAAGCAGAGAAACAGCTTGGCAGGATGTTCTATGTGATCACCCTGCTTTTCCTGGTGCTCTGGTCTCCCTACATAGTGGCTTGCTATTGGAGAGTGTTTGTCAAGGCTTGCACAATACCACACCGGTACCTCTCCACCACCGTGTGGATGAGTTTCGCCCAAGCTGGGGTCAACCCTATTGTCTGTTTTTTCCTTAACAAAGACTTGAAGAAAGGGCTCCTTTCCCACCTACCAGCCTGCTGCAGGACTAAACCTCATCTGCCACGAGAGCCTTATTGTGTCATGTAGGCAGAGATGATGATCTAAAACCAAGGGGCAGTCGAAAGACGTGTTGTGGGAGTGTTTGCCTGAGTTATTGTGGCGTTTGATTCAATGCAAGCTGCTTGCAGTGGGTATAAACTAGTGAGTGTAATGGTAACACTGGAATGGTAAGCATGCATTCCCATCTACCAACCCTTTTTCATTCAAAACAACAGCATACATAGAGTCAGACCTTGACTTTTGATATCAAGAGAAAAATACTTTAATAGCAAAACTTAGAAGTATTAATGCAGTCATTGTGGAAGTCACCGACAAATTACAAAAGCATCTTCGTAAAGCGGCCAATTAGAAAAGTCCTGGATTGGTTTGGCAACAAAAAAAGAGAGCAAAAGAAGCAACTTTCATAGTTTAGATCTAAAACTAACATGCTGGATTAGTTAGCAAAACCAGATAATGTTCTTTGAATGGTGACAATGAGGGAGAGATAGAACAAAGGTCCCATTCAGATTTGGACTGGGACATTGCTGTAAGCAACGGGGTTGACCCCTAATTGTACGTTCTTTTTTTTTTGCATTTTATTTTTAGTATTTGACTTGATTTGATTAGTTAAAATATGTAATTCCAGGTGTCAGTGAGCTTATTTATATTTTCTCAACACTCTATCCAAAGACAGTCTTTTTGTTGAGCCATGTAGAGACACAGAAATCAGTTCAACATAGTTCTCACTCTGGCCTGAAAATGATTTTGAAATCAAATCAAGTCTTTAGAAAGGAAGCAAATGAATCAAAGGCAGCCTTAAAGAGTCAGTGAGGGTCAGTGAGATGGGTTAAACTGATCCAATTAATCGCCTTCACTGCATAAGGAAAATAAAACTACTGATTCTCTGAAGCAAAGTGACAGGAACACCAAGTGCTGCACACCAGCTTTTATGTCTATGTTGATGAATTTTCTTTTTCTCATCAAATTATCCATGTTTCTCAGTTAGTTACTCATTTATGTTAACTAAAACGAACTAAGGTCCTTTCCAGACGACTGCAGTTCTACCACTGATACGTGTGTTCTTTTAATTATGTGCATTACTTGAAGACAAAATAGGTGAGCAGAGGTTTCTCACCAACACCAGCTTGTTCAAGTACCTGATTGGGAGTCTGAACACAGTGCCCAACTGCATAAAATGCCTGTCTTTAGAAAATTCAGTTTTCCTTACTTTTCCATTGCACATTCAAGTGGTGCAAGAAGGATCTACTAGCTAGGGTTAAATACTGACGATGTGCTGGAAATCACTTCCTATTGGCTACCAAACATTTTGATGTCAAGGACCCCCCCACAATATATGTACACAAGACTACGGACCCCTATTATATATGACAGGATTTTGTATAAAATAATCCCCTTTAAAATTTTAGGTTATGTATGAAGATTAAAAAAAAGTGTTAACAAACTATGGTCACTATAAGTTACAGTCAAAACAGACAGCCTTTTTTGCTTGCTTGTTTTTTCCACTACTAAAAAATGGCATACATGTTAAAATATTCTATTCCTCCTTTGCTGGGGACCCCCTACAGCTCTTCAAGGGTTAGGGTTTAGTAACCCTGCTAACACCCGGCCCCCAGATTGAAACCACTGATCTAGTGCTCTTTATATACCTTATGCCAATTTGACTGTCTAAATCTTTCAAAATTTAAAGTGGATGCCAATAATGTAATACACTTAAAAATCCCCACAGTGGATAAATGTCCAAAGCTGTTTTGTTGTTACATTACATTACATTACAATTATTATTACAACAGACACTGCATATTAAATGTAAGTATCTGAAGAAAGAATGTGGCGAGATAACAGACAGGAAAAATTCTCTCCAGATACTCTTCTTGGCATGCTTTCATTTTGTACTTCCATCTGTACCCATGTGGGTACAACAGAAAACACAATAAGGAATACGCCTACAGACAAAACCTTATTTGTTTAGGAAACATGGCAAACCATAAATTCAATCTGTAAAATATTTTAACTGAAGAGAAATTATTTTCTAGATGCATTATGTAACTAGGCACTGAGGTCTCAATCACTTGTTGACAGGGTGTTTCTTTAAAAAAGCAGTCGACATCAAATGAAATGTGACAAAATACAACCAAAGGTACTAAATCAAAATGTTGACTTTTAATACCAGATACAAGTCTTCTTTTTTTAAAACAAAATGATGAGATTTTAAGTCTAAATAGACTTTTGGAGTAGATGTCCAAATTATTATTTTTAATGTCAAACTTATTAAAGGTCCAGTGTGTAGGATTTAGTTGCACCCTCCCTTTCCAAGTGCAAAAGAGAAACTACAGTGGCCACTAAATGCGTGAAAAACACTAACACATATCTAGAGCCAGTGTTTGGTTTGTCCGTTCTGGGCTACTGTAGAAACATGTCGGTTCAACATGGTGGACTCACTCTTTACAAATGGCTCACTCTAAGGTAACGAAAAGACAACGATTATTAGGATTCGAAGGGGAAAAAAAATGAATATCATATTCCATTTCTGACAATATATCCTCCTAAATGTAACACAATGGACATTTTAAAGCTGCAGTAGGTAACTTATAAAAATAAAATAAAATATAAATTTGTCTTTATTCAGACCTGGTAGATTCTTGCAAATTCCATTACGAGCACTAGGCGGAGAATTATGAGGACACAAAGTCACTGAAGCTGCATTTTACAGCAGCAATCATTCTGTTCTGCGTCTTGATGGTTGCAAAGCAAACCTGTCACAAAATGGAGCCTAGATGGCTGGCACGAAAATGAAAAGATTTTTTTAAACCAGCATGTAAAATTCCAAGATAAATCAAGTGTCAATATCAACTTGATATTATATGATCATACAGGAGGAGAAATTAGATTGACGTAAATCATCATCATTACTTCACACAGAGTACTAAACTACTACTAAAGTACTGGGGACGCAGTAGAAGGCACATCTATTGCTTTACATTTGCACAAATCTAAATAAATCGATTAACTGTGCTTCTCTGTTGTTTTTCTCAGAAAAAGAACTGTAACCTGAAGTGGAGTTTATGTGGAAGTTAAGAACAGGGCACAGAGATTGTAATTTGTCAGTGAATGTCAGAAAACGAGATACAGTCCTTAAGATTGAGGGTAAATAGTGTGTTTGGGGGTTTGAGGTGCCCCTTTTGTCTCTGCCATGGCATACCTTGCAACACCCAACAACAGCATGCCACAGAGAATCGCTAATCTTGTTTTTATTTTCAGAATTATGGCCTTACTCCATAGAAACCAATGCAACAAAGAGTAGACAAATGTGTCTCTTCTGTATGTGCTTATTCAAAAGGAAGAAACAGAGCATTGTGTATACTAGAGACATTTTGAAGACTGTTGCTCTTCCCATCAAAACCTGGAGGAACTGTGGTCATGGACAAAGGAGAACATTCAAAGTCGTTGAAGACACTTTTCTGTTGCAGACTGATGACCTTAGTGAACCCTGCTCTGGATTTTTTGGGATTGTTTTTCTCAGTTGTTTTTCTCTTGGATGTCAACCTGAGGACTGAAGGAAAAACCATTGGTCTTTCCATTTTCATTTCTGGGACAAAGCCAGAGGAAACTGTGGATTCACACAGTGTTGATGCTGGAGAGGCCTGACAGTGCTTTTTTAGTTGCCTCAGGCAGATTATCTTTTGTAAATTTACTGTGACCTCTGTACTATTTAGTGTGTATTATACCGACAGCAAACCAACTTTGAAATGCAACGGAAGAGTTACTGATCATTGTATTTTTACTGTGTGTGTGTGTGTGTGTGTGTGTGTGTGTGTGTGTGTGTATGTGTGAGTGTGTTTCTATTGGCTGGTATGATTGTGTGTATGTGCTAGATGATGGTTACATGGATGACACAGGAAAGTGAGAGGGAAAATACTGACCAGATACTAGGGCTGCACCTAACGATAATTTTTCTTGATTAATCAATTAGTTGTTTGGTCCAAACATTTTTGGAAAAAGGTGAAAATGTTGTTCACTGTTTCCCAAAGCCCAAGGTTACATCCTCAAATGTGTTGTTTTGCCACAACCCACTGAGACGACTAAAGGAAAGCAGAAAATATCCACATTTGGGATTTTCTTGGTGGACAACTAATCGATTAATCAACTCGTTGCAGCTCTACCAGATACATATTGCATTTAGAAGATATCATTCCTGCAAATGCTTCCTCACTATTTCTCACGTTGACCATTTTTCCTGACACACAAATCTGAATGTGTTTTAAAACCAAGAAGTTTACTCAAAGTCCCTTTTGTAAAACATGTATTAGGTTATTATTAATTGGACTGATTTTTTTGTACATATTTAGGGATAATGATGGTAAATAAAAAAGCTTGATATAAAGCATCTGGACAGGCCCAATGTGCCTACGGACACTGGTCTCTCTGAATGTTTTATTGAGGAATTCACACATAAATAATGAAGTAAGAATTGTAGATACAGAAGATTTCACTTTGACATCTAAACAGCTCTCAAATTGTCCTTGTTGTTAAAGGATAACCCCAAATTATTCATCTTGGGTCTTATCCATCATTGCGGTCAGGTACAGAGCTGATATGTGAGCTCACAGTCTGATGGGTTGAGAAACATGAGCAGTCAGACATTCAGACAGACCAAGAGGCCTTGCCTTTTGTTTTTCGTAGATTGGTGTGAAGCTTCTGTTGCAGTCATCAACAGAACCACAGGCTAGCTAAACTACAAATCAAATAAAGCATTCAGACAAGCAACAGACACCTAAACAATCCACCTGATGCTGCATCACAAAGTAGCCAAAGCTCTTTTTCATTGCTGGTTTTATTCTGATAGAATAAATGACTAATATAGCATGGAGCTCCCTAAAGATGGTATTTTCTTGTCTTGTTCTCAAGATTGAAAATATATATATCATCTATGTAAGCTAGCCCTCCATTTGCTATCAGCCAACAATGTAAACTTGCTTTTCTACAGAAATTGAATCAAATAATTCCATTCAAATCCTGAATAGAACTTGGTAGTCTTTACACATTGCATCCAATTTTGCTGTCATAAATGCTGGTGTGACTGGGCCCAGCAGTAAATGAGCCAGATACCAATTTGACAAGTGAAAGTCCAAATCAGTCTTTGGTTGTTCTGCTGTGTTACTGTTGCATAGTGGACACTCACATTAACACAAATCACAATAACAAGGTATCACTGTGGGTAGTACAGTATATCTTTGGGAGAAACTCAAAATATTGCTATGTTCCTAGAGGTGGCACACCTATGAATTCTACAGAAACAGTTTAATTAAGTAGAACAGTAAATGTCGAAGGTTAAAAGAAAGTCCCATCTTAGTGCACCCTGAAGTCAAAAACACTGAATATCACAGAGGCAAGTCAGACGCTGCGGTTTCACTTTGTTCTGTATTATTTAAAAAAAATGTGGTTGAGCTATTACGCATGTCTCTGGCAATTTATGATTTTTGTTGTTGGTTTTGTAATAAAAATAAATTTCATTTGAAATTATCAGAACATTATTATGATTACCTGTGGTATTGTCTCCCCAGAGTTCCTGGGCATGATGGTGTATCAAATTATTAAGTCATATTATGCGTACTATGCACACACAACATGTAGAATAATATGCATTTACAACCCGGTCTCACTTCCAAGTCGTCAAATACTGCCACTTGGTCAAGGGCCCTCTGTAGGTATCCCTCTAGTGTAATTTCAGGGTTCCCACTCTTTTTAAGAAATCCAATTCAATTTCAATTCAATGTTGAATGTGTGTTGGGTGGTAGACAAAGCAACAATAGCAAGGACTAACATTATGATGATGACAAGAACGACAATAGCCACAACAATGAGGAATGAATAATAATAGTAATAATTAAAACTACAAGCAGTGATGATTGCAGTGCCCTCGCACTCCACGCAACACGGGGTTAGCTTCGGCCTCATCACATGCAAGTGTGACATGAATATTGGCACGCTACGGACACACCGTTTAACCGACTGTACAGATTTTAATAACGTAACATCCTGAACTAATCTGGATTGTATTCACCAATTTTGAAGTTGTTCTGATCAGTTCACTAGGAGGAGTTTGTTAAAATAGAAGCCCTGAAATTGCCGGAAATGCGACACAGTTAGGCATTCGATTCAAAATGGCCGACTTTGACATCACGCCACAGACATGGCATTCAAGGTACAGTCACAAATAGGACAACTTTTAATCAGCAATGTTTTTTGACTGAACTGACCAATTTTGAAGTAGATCCGATAAATTCCCTAGGAGTAGTTTGTTCAAATACAATGAATTGTTGAGCCTGTTTAGCACCCGCAAAATTGATCAAATGATAAAACAACAAGGTGATGCTTGCTCCATCGCTACGGCAACACGGTTCAATAAAAATTCATAAGGTTCATAAGATGCCATTGTCAACAGTCTATAGGTCTTCTGATTTTCAGCTGGATGTGGTCAATCTGCTAGGAGAAATACATAAAAGTGTAATAAATTCCACCATAATGTGGCACTACCACTTTTATTAAATTTTATCACATAGACGTGTTCAGGTCGGGACTCTTATCAAACATGTGAAGTTCCATTGAGATTGGATCATGTACCCTGGAGTTGTGACAACTTCCTGTTTCATGGCAAAACGTCGAATTTTGACGCCACGTCACGCCACGGGCACGCTGTTTGACGCACAGTCACAAAGAGCACGACTTTTAATCGTGAATGTCTTTAGATTGCAGTGTCCAGATGTGAAGTCGATCTGATCAATTCCCTAGGAGTAGTTTGTTAACATACAACATCAAAAATGACAGCTAAATCCAAAATGGCTGACTTCTTGTTGGGTTTGCGAAATGGCTCTGAGAGGATTTTTCGTACGTCCTGACATGATACATATGCCTGCCAATTTTCATACATGTCCATGAAACAGGACACCGGGGCTTCGTTTTTAAAAATTTGTAGGGGCCGCTATTGAGCCCTTTTTCCGTGCATATGTCAGAGAGCCATAAATGCACCAAGTTTCGCCACGACTCCGGTACATTTACATACAGCAGCACACAGATTTACCTCTGCCGTCTCTCCACAGAGAGTTGGTACAATCCCTCTTTCAGGAACAGTCTTTCAGCCAGTCCAGTGTTGTACTGACCGAGATTGTGAAAACAGTCCAACACAAGTGGTTCACACACGAAACCAAAATAAAAAAAATTAAAAAATACAATTATGAACCTGAAAAGGGGAATAATATGTCTCCTTTAAAGCATGTCTTTCTCTAGCCAATGTCTACAGGTCCAGGAAATGGTCAAAACAAACGTGCTGCTTAGCCAAAAAGGAGCTCTGTGCATCTGCACTCGATTGCTCTTACTGAACGACCTTGACCCGTCTGTGACCTTAAAACTGTAATCTAGTGGTTTGAAATTGAATTTTGAAATTGAAAATTGAGAGCTGGTTCCACAGGAGAGGAGCTTGGTAACTGAAGGCTCTGGCTCCTGTTCTACTTTTAGAGACTATAGGAACCACAAGTAGCCCAGCATTCAGAGAACGTAGTGTTCTAGTGGGGTAATAGGGTACTATGAGCTCTTTAAGATATGAAGGGGCCTGACCATGAAGAGCTTTATAGGTGAGGAGGAGGATTTTAAATTCTATTCTACATTTTACAGGGAGCCAATGCAGAGAAGCTAGTACAGGAGAGATGTGATCTCTTTTTCTAGTTCCTGTCAGTACTCGTGCTGCAGCGTTCTGAATTAATTGGAGCATCTTAGTGGATTTATTGGGGCACCATTGCCACTGGGCTTCCCTCAGAATTCGATTCATGGCTCCAGAAAAAATAGACTTGACCGCAAAAAGTCTGCTTTGTGTCTGGTAATACTTTAAGTGGGCGATCTGACTGAGGGGCTAAAATACAATTAAAAGGGTTGGTCTGCATATGGAGGTGGTGGAGTGGATGGATGGCTCAAACTAATACTGGGCTTTAACTCAGGAGACTGCTTTTTGTGTCCCATGTGAAACCAAACTATTTATTTTAAGTAACACATAAATTACTTAAGTCACGTAACGTACTAATGTAAGTAATGTGAGGTACATAATGTAACATATAATCTTCTAATCTCAAGTCGTTTTTGTGCCTAAAGCTAACCAAACTGCGACCATTTCACTACATTAACCCACTCAAGCTTTATTGTAGTGTGAACAGACGTTGCATAATTATTGTTGCTTACTTGGCCGCACAGCCCTCTGCGTCCAGAAATGATCCTAGGGGGATATCTACAGCATCATATTTTGAGACGTTGAACTTGGGACTGAACATCCAGTTTTGAAAGCTGAATGATGATGATGATGGTATGGTAGTATGATGAATCAGCACCATTGTTCCATTCTGTTACTCAAATGGTCTGTTCACCCAAACTACCAAAACCTCACTAATCAATACTTCTGCCAACAAGTGTATTTGGTTCCATTTGTCCAGGGTTTCTGTCTCTGAGATGTTTGCCTCAACAGACACTACAATGGAGTTTAGCAGAACCTTGTTCTTGGTGCTCAAATAGCTACAAAAGTCAACATCTCATTCCAGAAACAGTGTCCCATGGTAATCCACCGAACACACTGTGACAGTTTTCATTGGGTCAAATACTTTTATATATACATTTGAACTGCTTCACTGACACCAGTATTTAGACGCACACAAGTAAAACAAGTCATTTCATAAAGCTTTGTGGAGGTTTCTAAAATAAGCCTTAAAAAGCAAGCCTTCAATACAGAGAGAAACAGTACTGATTACATTGAAAAATGTGATGTGTATTTGTGGTTCAAATAGTGGTTGTTGGTAATGTATCTGTGACCCCAACAGACATGATTATATTGGTTTATATGATTTTTTTGCTTTCATGGGAGTTCAGCTCCCACTGGCTCCCACATAACTCTCATAATGGCTGTGCAGAGCACTAAAGAAATTTTAATATTTTATAAAAATGTATGGAAACAAATACATGCATGCATACCTGCAACGTGACGAAACAAATTATATCTAAACTTGTACAGCATGCATTTGAAAATGGTCAGCTAAGACTTGCATACAAACTGGTATGGTCCCTGGTATGGAGTGGTGAGTTTCCCTTCAAAGGTTATACTCACATAACTTTCCATTTAAATTTGTCACAAAGGAAATCTGTTATTTGTAGAGAACATGAATGCTGGGATTGGAGAGTGTATTACACCAGAGGCTGAACTTTTAACATGCTATTACACCCAACAGGAACTGTTCATTTTGTTCTGCATCTCTTTTAAGTCGCATTAGGAAGGGATCTCTTTACATCCAGTATAAAGAGGAGAAACATTACAGACACTAAAATCTTCAGTTTACATATGGGCACAAGTATTGTATTAAGAAAGACTTGAAAAAACCTGAATCAATCTTTAAACCTTCTCAGTTGATTTGTCCCCTCATGAAGTGCATACAGACATCAGACTGCAGTCAGGAAGAAAGTAAACTGTTCCTGACCAGTGCCATGGTTTCATCTGACCCAGACACCAGCCTCTGGCTGATCTCACCGGTGTGTTCACCTTTCATTGACATCAACCACCTGTGTCTCTACACTCAGAGCTCAGGAAGTCCTGATCCTCCACAAATCCAAAGCAATCCGTGCCACATGAGGTGAGGTAGAGACTCTCATTGTTAGATGATTGGCTGTTACAGAGGACATACTGAACACCACTCCTGCGTATATTCTCATCCAAGGAGCTTCCAAAGCAGCCCTGATCACCCAGCTGATCGGCAGAATTAGGCCAGACTTTGGTGTCATGACCCCTCCATCTCCCACGCTGATACAGTTATAGTTTACTCCAAACAGTGATTCAGTATATACCAAAAATATGTAAAACCTCTGGATCTGGAATACATATCCATTCATTGTTCTCTTTATGACCACCAAGCCACCGTGCTGCCCTACATGCGGTTATAGAGCTACAATACTATTAACATAAAATGTAATTTAAAGGCCAATTAGACTAGGCTGGTATAGCTACACGTTTTGATAAAGGCTGGTCACAATTAGAGGCCTGGTCCGGATTTCATGAAAATTCTTTGGATGTGTAAAACCTCTGAAAACCCCTTGAGTCGCCCGCTTGAGTGAGTTCTAAGCTGCTTATATTGTCTACACAATGTAAGTATACAATATAACTTTTTTCAATATGGACATGATACACATCGTCAGATCAGTTAGATTCTCCACAATTTAATTAATTCCTAATTGATGTTATTCAATAGAAGTAATATTCATAGTAGTTTAAATAAACAATTCAATAGTATTTCCATCTTTGCTGAGCAATCATTTTGTGCAAAAGGAATTAAAGGCCTGTCCCATATAGAGGCCTGTTCAAATAAAGGCAGGTTCATAACATTATGACCACAGACAGGTGAAGGGAATAACACTAATTATCATCACTCTTATCAGACATGTGAATTTTGATGTTGATCGGACAAAGTACAGTGAAATTACAGCAACTTCCTGTTTCTTGGCAAAAGATCAAAATTTGGTACCATCTCTCCATCTTCTCCCTGATGGAGGTCTCTGAATCCAAAGTTAATACTGTTGTGAACTCTGGATTCACTCTTACTAAAAAGACATACAGATTAATTACCATAATTGACATTTCCATTAAAGAAGGGAAGTTCCTGAAGAATGGGAAGTCAGCCAGAGTGCCAGTTCATAAATCAGGGGACCTGACTGATGTGAGTAATAACATGCCTATTAGCATTTTACCCATCGTCTCCGAATGTCTCGAAATGTGCTGCTGAACACTCATCTTAACAATAGCCGTGTGTCAGGGGAGTCACCAAATCTTCAAAAAGGGGCACTAGGTCTTCATTCCTTTCTGTGAAGAAAACAACATTAAATGAATTGTTTTAAGTAAAGATAATTATTTAAAACTGCAAAAAAAAAACTTTATTTACTGAAACTTTCACTTTATCCTGACAGTAGAACATGAGACAGATAATCTGTGAAAAATCAGGTTCCTCTGGCTCCTCCTACAATCAACAATGCTGAAGAGCCTTTCTCTTTATTTGCTCTGATTGGTTGTTTTGGTTTAGGCCCAGTAGATTCTTGCAAATGCCTTAAGGAGCACTAGAACAAACCAGATGATTATGTGTCTCATGTACTACTGTCAGGATACAGAAAACATGACAAAAAGATATTTTTATAGAAATAACCTACTGCAACTTTAAGATGTGAACAGGGTAAGGGTACAGGGAAGAGCTGAACACAAGCTATATTCAGAGCCTTCACTCTGATAAACCATCTGAACCATGCAGACACCCTGTAATAGGAGGAAACAAAAGGTAAACATTTTCTATATGTGGGGGGCAGCTATAGCTGGTCCAAAGCACCATCTAGTGGTAAAAAGTGTTTCATATGAAAAAAAAAAAAAACCTCTCAGTCCTACCCACCCAGTACATGTTAAATGTAGTACAAATACAACAGTAAAAGCATGAGAAAACTTTATAAGAATTTATTTACATTATTTTTGTTCTTCACCTATAAGCAAGTCACACTGAAACTACAACTACAACTAAAATGTTTAAATATACAGCGTAAAATAATCAGCTATTTAATCACAAAACACATACTGTACAGTCACAAGGAACTTTAACTGAACAAGCAATTGCAGTATCTCCATACTTCACCATTAAAGGGTCAGTTCACCATAATGAAAAAATCCCTCAAGAAAGTAGAAAAATATGCATCGTCTTCTGGATGAACTTAGCCTTTAACCCCTAAAGTTTCCCCATAATAACACTAAATAAGTAGCCAGGTGTAAAATATATCCAGAACCTTCCATCATCGGTAGGGCTGTTGAAAGGAAGCGCACAAACACACAGAAACACATTATTGGCTGAGCTGAGAGTTACTCCCTCCCTGTAGTTTGTCTGCACATTCCAGTTTATTGCATAGTAAGCCATGTCTTGGGGACACCTGTGAGACATGCTACGTATTGATCTGTTGTTGAAAGCTGGTCACAAATGATCAGACTGACATGCAGATGTGTTGAAGACAAAAGACCTCAGTGTGATTCAAACAAAGTGCTTGCCTCATCTGAAACCCCCTCTTGGAGGAAGGCTTTTTCAACAATCAACACTTACATCTGTGCTACTTTACATGTGATCAACCAGGAAGACACTGTCCATGATCTTGATTAGATGAATTGTACAAATGGATCTAACAGCAGACTTTCAAATATGTACTAACAGTTCATGGAGAGAGATCAGAAAGGCAGTGGGATGCAGCCAGGAGGGAAATATGACAGCACCTCACCTTCCAGTGTGGACATTCAGAATAGCTAGTAATGCTTTTTACTTGGTAGTTGGACAACACAATGAACAAACCAGTTTCTTTTTTTTAAGTGTACTGACCTCAACCATCATGCACTGTTAAATTAACTGAGCATCAGGAGCACAGTGAAACACAAGTGACAACACTGAAGGTAAAACAAACAAATAGCATTAAAAAAAATTACATATTGAACTACATCTCAATCAGAGCAGAAAAAATAACACATTTGGTCTTGGACAGTTAAGTTCAGAAGAACAGGAGTCTCTGCCAACAGAACAAATGGCAACATTTGCAACAAGCAGGATAACAGCATGTATGTGGTGCACACAGGTAAGCTCATGTCTACAAACTATGGCCTGTTCGATTTGTGTGAGCAAGTTCAAGCACTGACACTTGGTGCTACAACAATATTGGTGTTGATTTCGTTCCAGTTAATTACAACTGTAATTTTAGACTTTTGAATCACTTCTATCAGCTTTGCACTCACCACATTAGTGGTTGAGATGTGGGAACACTGCAAAAGAATCCCAAGAGGACATGAAATACGAGCAGTCAGGCAATAGGACAGGTTGGAAACAAAACCAACAGTTCATTTCATCCACTGTATTTAAACTACAGTAATTCCATTCTGTCAAAGTTCACCAGTCAGACCTAAATAAAGTTGGCCAACATGGACATTTGTTTGGATACTGTTAGGGTATCTGTTTGTTTGATGGATTGTCTTTTTTGGTGATAACATGTTAATCTCAGTGTGTTTAGATTGGCAGCCAAAGGGTGGTTTGGCCATACTATGTGACCCTCAGATACATGGGTTAATACACTGCAGCCCCACACCAACAGACTGCTCTGCACTGTGTGTTCTGACCCCTTTCTATCAGAACCAGCATTAACTGTTTCAGCAGTTTGAGCTACAGCAGCTCGTCTGTTGGATCGGACCACACAGGCCAGCCTTCACTCCCCACGTGCATCAATGAGCCTTGGCCCCCCATGACCCTGTCCCCGCTACCTGTCAGTGGTCATTATGTTATGGCTAATTGGTGTATATGTACATACTGTATAGCTTATGTCATATTTTGTATGCATTAGTCGTCTAAATTTTATTTTGAAAGCTGGCCAACATGAAGGTCCCAACCAGTTTGTGTTACTTGGCCCATCAGACTTCTTTTTAGTGATGTTCCCAGATCTCAGCTACTTGTGGTTACAATACTGTCACTGGCAAATGTGATGAGAAAAACTAAAACCCAAGCTGTAATAAACCAGAATTATCATTTTACAGTGATGAAAAGGCATGGGCATGTAGCGGTCATGTTTTTGCGGACTACGTTTTTAGAGCACAGAAGACGCAACCACAAAAAATGTTTTACTCAAAAAGTAAATGGCTGTTGTCTTGTGTTGCACTCTGTATGGACTAATATACATGCTCACTCATCTATTTTATCTATGCCATTTAAAGTGGACGGAGAAAGATCATTTAAAATCATTGGAATTAAGTACTCAAAGAATGATTCACTGGAAGTCAAGAAGTTCTACATTCTGTTGAAGTTAATCAGATTTGAAACTCTGAATTGTGATTCTCATCTTGGGAGAATTTGTCATGTTCACATATAAAAAAACACCCACGAGAATTTTAGCTTTCATAAAAAAAATAAAATTCATATACAAATCTGTACAGTTTTCCACATCTTTACACAGATGAGGGTGTTGAATTCCCAGCAGTCCCTTGTCAGAACAAGTACTTTCGGCATGAGTCTGATCCACATCGACACTCCACTCGAATCCTCTTCTTTGGAGAGCTGGGGAGCCCCGCTAGACTGAAACTTGAGTCCATTTTGGTGCTTTCTGTGTCCACTGGATCAACTGGAAATAATAAACAGGAGTTAGAAACAACTCTTATCAACAATTAACATGCAAAATAACTTTGCTTGACCCTTTCACAAATTTATCCTCACCTTATGGACTGCTAGTAATGCGATGGTGTGGTGTACAAGACAACATTATACATTTTTCAGATAGATTTTGTCTGTGAGGAAAGCATCAGTTTCATTTTTACAAAGAAAAGCCAATAAGCATTGTTTTGCAGTTTATACCCTACCTCAGAATTTAAATATATGTTGTAGATTTTTGTCTGGTAAATTAGCTTATTTCTGGGCAGTAGTATCTCAGTCTTTAGGGGCTTGACTTGTTAACTGGAGGGTTGCCATTTCAAGTCCAGCATGAACCACTGTATGGAGTGTGGACTGGTAGCTACGGAGGTTCCACCTTGAGCAAGGCATCGAACCCCTAACTGTTCCCAGGGCACTGCTCCTTGGCAGCCCATCACTCCACCATCTCTCCACATTTGCACGTCTATAATTCCTGTGTGCATTATCGTGTTTTCGGCCTGTGTGTAAAAATTGAGTGAAAAAATGTTATTGTTATTGTATAGAATGCTGCGCGTTAAATCCCTACGTTTAACTATATGATATACTATATTATATTACACAGGACTAGTCTCGGAACTTGATCCCTCAAAATGTCTCTTCAAGTTAACTTCAAATCTGCTGAATCAATGACACTTACTTTGCATCTTGTAGTCAAAGGTGAGCTCCTCTCCTGCCCGGATAGCCCGTGTTGAAAATAAAGCAATTCTTGGGAGCCTCTCATCAATGTTGTTGATGAAAACATTAAATACCTGCAGGTTGGGGTTACACTGCAAAAAAAAAAAAAAAAAAAAAAGGGGGACCTTTTCAACCAAGACTACGCTTTCAAATACCAGAACAAAAGAAACAAACATTTCCAAGGTGTATGTGCTGAGAAAAGATCCTTTTCAAGACGCAAATTAATACATGAACAAAATTATTTATCCACATATAAATCAAAGAGAAAAAAGGATGATTGCAGGTTCTGTCATTGACAGGACTTCTTTTTTATGTTTATTCACATTTAGTTTAACTGTGAAACTGTGTGAATTGACAGCTGAAAAAAAGCTTTAAGAACAAGGCACACCGCTACATAGACGCAAATTCAGTGTGTGGGCCTGCCGACAGAGTGACCTTTCAGCAGTATATTCTGTACACAGTCTGAAGACACTCACACTGTGGTTGACAAAGTGGGAGATGTTGCCTTGGTGAGCTGCATCCACTGTATACACGTCCTCCACATAGTCCAGGTCAAACAGGTACGTGGAGCCTTGGCGGTCGTACACGTGACCCCTCCTCTCTGCTTCATCTGTTGTGATGATCTGCAGGATAACACAGGACATTACTGGAACAAACACTTCAATGTATTTGGTCAATTTTGGACACTACACGAAAATAATAATTAATTTAAAATCTAAAATACCAACATCCGATATTTACTAGAAGTTAGAGGCCGACTGATAAGGGAGTTTTGAGACTGATACTGAGGAGATAGGAGAACCAATACGGCGGCCGATCTATTGAATTTTTGACCTGGAATTAAAATAGACCCTTTGTATGTTGATTGTGCACCACTTTTTAATTGATCATTATCTTAAATAACTTCTTTCAAGAATATTAAATATTCTTTAACCTGTTAAATAACTGAACATATACATTATCAACCAGTTGTAGTTGACATTGCTGAGAGCTGCTTCTTCTCCTTTACTCTGCCAGGTAAACTAAAAAATTGTGAGACAAACCAATGTTGAAACCCAGTATCGTAAATTTAATATAATCAGGATTTGAATGCATCGTTACATCCCTATCAGCCGGTAACACACAGGTATAGTTAGGCCATAGGTTGTGGGTGTGTTCAGGTCCATTACTAGTAAAAAGTACTAATACCAACCCCACAGAGAAATACATCACAAGTAAAAGTTCTACATTCAAAACCTTACTTAGGTAAAAGTATTATAGCTAAATTAGTCATAGTGCAGTAAAATGTTCCGTCAGTGTTTTATTATTATTATATCCGATGGTTTTGGATTGCATTTGACTGTTTTAGATGTTTACGGTTGAGCACATTTCTTTATACTATACAATATATTGGGTAGATTTGGCCTTTGTGCCCTACATTCTGGCCATGATGCCCCAATAAATTAGTTTTTATCAAAAGGCCAAAGAGGCCAAATCTTAAAAATGTCTTAATTCCCAGCCTGAGAGGTGTCTTTTTTGTCAATTGTGGTCCTAAAATTAATCGCTGCCATTAATATAATCTGTTGGCTCCCATTGTTTCCCGATTCTGATATGATATTAAGAAGTTTAACTAGCAGAACACAACTCCTGAAACTGACATGAAGCGATCAGCTAAAGAGAAGACGTATGATGTTGAAAATGTTGGTTCTACGAAACACTTGTGGTTGTACAGTAGTGTTATAGTGTGGTGCTTCTTTTCTCTCATAAACAATCTTTCAGGAAGCACAAAAGACTTACAACAGCCAAATTTCATTATGGCCTATCACAAAGTCGCTCACAGAATTAACTTTAGCATTAATTAGCGACAGCTTATATGACCTACCACCAGCAACTTCTGTCATTACATGCAATGAAATGCTGCACTATAGTGTGCAGCTGTCATTAAGGACCACAGCTAATTTTCCACTACATCCTGGGTGAGGGGGGAAATACAATTAACAATGTCCAGGACAACATGGATTATTTCCAGGATATTTGGTCTTTTTTTTTTATCAATTTCTTGCTGTTTCCATGACTGGAAAACTAGTCTCTAAATTTCCAGGTTTTTCTGGATTTTGCAGGACATGTGCGAACCCTGACTGGATTAGGGAAGAGAAACTTCTTGAAATGCCATCACCTTTCGTTTTCTCCACTGAGTGAAATCCCGGCTACTTTATGCATTTTCAGTGGTGTAATGGGAAAACTGTGCATGCTCTTCATCATAGAAAACCAGAGCAGCTCCAGCCATCTGTGGCACAGCAGCTTTCAGTGTTGATAGACTATGACACGAGATCTCTGTGATCTGTGACTCAAATAGAGATGCAATCTGGGGAACCCGGTTAGCTCAGTTGGTAGAGCTGGCGTCCTATATACCGAGGCTGAGTCCTTGCTGCAGCGGCCCAGGGTTCGAATCCATCCTGCGGCCCCTTGCTGCATGTCATCCCCTCTCTTTGCCCCCCATCCTGTCTGTCTTCAGCTGTCACTGTCATACAGGCAAAAAAAGCCCCAAAAAAGACTTGAAATAAAAAAAATAGTGATACAATCCAAACCGTGAGTTTTGTTAATAACGAAAATAATCGTTAGTTGCAGCCCTATTCTGTAATATCAGCATTGGACATCAGAATAAAAGTGTGAGCCAACCATATAATTCTAACATGACAGCTGTCATGGGGAATTATTATGTAATTTGTGCCTTGTGACAGTTCATGTAAACCTCAGGACTGTTTGGTCTGTCTTATTACCTTAGATGACGTTTCCATGATTTAAAAGCTGCCTTAGGCCAAAAACTGTAAAGGTGAAAGGGCAGACTGACTTTTGCAGACTTCGAGCAGGTCCTACCTCTCCCACGTACTCCATGACGAATGTGTTCTTCTTGATACGTTGCAAAGTGCGGACGCCCCATCCCCGGCCGTTCTCTGTCTTAAAGATGCACAGGTCAAACTGGATGCCTTTCTGCACCACTCTGTTGGGACAATCGGAGCCACAGATGCATCTGGAATTACACTCATATATGGGTTTCCCCGGGCGGATCCTGACCTGCCCCCTGTCATTGTAGGCCATGCGGTGCAGGGAGGCCCCAGGGCAGCAACCATTCACCGGCTCCTCTGAACAGTTCTTACACTCACAACCCACAGCCATCTCATTTAACACGATGCCCATGCCCACTTTGTAGTTGTTGATGTAGGTGAAGTCTTTTGGGGGGCCCTCAAAGTCCACTTCGTTAATGACAAAAATGCGACCTGGGTGGTTGCGAGTCTGGTTCAAATGGGCCTCCCATCGCTGCAGACTCTGACGGAGTTTAGCTTTCCGGACCAGGAATGAGGCAACTTCTTTATCCAGCTTTTTGGGGATGCAGCGTCTTTTGTGGCGCCTGAGCTCCTGATCCAGGTCCAGGTGAAACTGCTTCATTAGTTTGGGGCATTTGAGGTTCCTCTTGGGTTCCCACGTGTTATCGGACTCTGGGAAACCCCTCCACTTTACCAGATAGAACTCTTCCTCCTAAAACACAGAATAAATTCAATCAGCGACACAGATTAGATTCCTTCTCATTTCTAGTTTGTGTATCCTTTTTTGTATGTTAACATAGTCAACAGATGACACACAGACAATAGCTATTCTCAGTGGTAAAGTGCTAGTGGGTTCACAATTAACAGCACCAAACCAGCACGCATGGCTTTGTGAGGGCCAAGACCCACGGTCCCACCCACACTTCTGGCCTTAAACATAAAATGCTCTCATTTCTATATGGCAGCTGGAAGTTTCCACCCTAGACATGTAGAGCAGTTCGCTTTCTTTCAGAAAAAAACTCTGAAAAAAGCAACTGTTTAACTGCACTGTGTGACGGGACCGTAGGGGATGTGGCAGTTCACCAGCTGTGGTATGTTAGTCAGCTTACAGTGGGGGCACACAGGTGGCAGGTTGCATGTGAACCTGGCTGTCCATATCAGAAATTAATTTCTCTGTGCTGGTCAACAACCAATTCTGCTCTTACAATCACACGTACAGCTGATCTTTATAATAATCTAATGAATTATGGGTTTATGGATAAGCAAGGTGTTGCTTCTTTTGTGATAATCTGCTAGAGAGGCCTCCTATCCGAGTGTGTGTGTGCGCACACTTGTCTCTCGTTCTTTGTTTAGACACAACTGACAAATATGTGGAATAGGTACGTAATTTAAAATAAACTAATAATCTAATAAATATACTGGATGGGCAGATTTGGATATTTTATAATGTGGGGGGAACGTGAAAGTGAAATGGTTTGGCAAGAATGGGATGCATAGTTTAGCATTTATCAGAATCAGATTATTTAATATATCATTTATATCATTAATAATAGTAATAATCAGTATGTTTTCCTGCCGGATTGGCTCATGGAAAAAAATAGAAAAGACGCTGGAACAATTGCTGGAGAGCTTGAGTTGACAGCAGAGCTCCACGCCATGGCACGCACAGAGTAGGGTAACATTTAACCAAAATATGGCTATACGCAAAATCCACATCACAGAAGCTGGTAAAATTTGTGACAGCATTATAATGATGTACTGTAGTTCCGCAGAGATGCCCTGACCTACAAATCTTGTTCTCCAGATGTAAGAAAACATGTTTGGTACAGACCCAAAACAATTCATTATTATTTTATTACCATACCTTAATCTTCTTGTAGTCACAGAGGAATTCCACCTCATAGTCGTTGACGTTGGCTCTGTTCACCCCAAGCTGTTTACAGTGGAGCCTCTCTCGGCGACACAGGGCTTCCAGCTCATCCCAGGACACCTTGCAGGGCACGCTGCAATCTGACACAGCAACCCCCTTTAGGTAAATGTCATATGCAAAGAGGCCACGCAAAACTCCACTTAAAAGGCATTCGATTTAAACTGCCACTGATCACTGCTGCAGGTGCAAAGCATTAAAGCATTAAAGCATTACTTCTGTATGTGCTGACTTTGATTGTATGTGTTCATTTAACTCCGCCCGTTCCGCCAAACACGGCAGTGAAGAATGATAGTGAAACCGTGGAAAGCACGTTAAAAAGCACAAGGTGAACTGAAAGACTGTGCTTAGTACGTCAACAGCTATGTGAACCGACTACAACCTTGTCTTCGACTTTAATATTACTTTTTAATGTATGACGGTTACAGAGAAAGAACGACGTATGTATTTTAAGAAAAACGTCACTAAGCAGATGTTCCAAATCGACTCTCGAACCAGTTTTTAGGTTTAAATCGTCGCGTGCATTATCCCCCGTGGAAAGATCAAACAGCCAAAAACACATAATGCCATTTAAACACTGACGTGACGCTGCATGGCGCATGAGGCTGATCGAGTAACGTTGCAGTGTTTGCCCGCTAAACCTCACAGAATGCCCCTTACACTACAAAGCGCTAAACTACATTTATAAACGGACTGTATGCGTCCTACAGTACACAACCTCAGCAGACCAATGAACGAATTAAGTAATTCACGGGCGAAAAGAGGCTGCCTTTAACTGCACAAGTACTTAACTTACGACAACTACTTCGTCTTCCTAGAATCACCATGATATACAACCCCACAGCTCGCGTTAATCTTATGTGAAGTCGAGGACAAGCGTCCATATTCGAGCTCTTTAAAGAGTTTACACTTACACTTACACAAATATCAATAGTAAATAAACGTATAATAGAGTATAAAGTCATATCTTACCTTTCAAATTTTCCGCCATGTTTACCGCACAGCCGCCAAAATAGGAGTGGGAGGTTTCGACCGCAATGTCTGACTGTAGCTGCTGCTGATTGGACGAGCGACACATGTCAGTCCCCTCATTGGTTCAGATGTAGTCAGGAGGTTCTTCCGGAAGACACATATCGGTGGATGGTAAACCGGAAGTTGGAGGAGAATTGTTTGGACAGAGAGACGGCGGATTTCAATCCAACTCTATCCTGAGTGAGTGAGTGAGTGAGTGAGTGAGTGAGTGAGTGAGGGAGGGAGTGAGTGAGGGAGGCGATGAGTTGTAGTTCAGATGGTGATGTGACAGGTGGCCTTCAGATATGGAGTTTAGCCAAACAAAAAGGCAAAGGAAAAAATAATGGTCTAAGCGAGTAGTGGAGGAGAGGGTACTCAATAATATCAATAACAACAATATGAGCTTCCTGCAGTACCAGAGTACCAGGATAAGGGATGAACCCGGGATATGTTGGTTATCCTGGCTGAATTTAGCCTCAAGTCGGTTGCATGAAAGCAGGTTAAACTTATCCCGGCCAAGTTACTATGGTGATTTATTCTCTGCAGCTAGCCTGCTCCAGACCAGGCTAACAGCCGGGCTAACATAACCGGGCTAACAATCCAGGTGATTCACCTGTATTTCCACCATCAGTCCTGTGAGGAATTAATGTGTTTTACAGCATGTCCATGGTCTTTCTAAGTATGTTGTATCATTTTAATTATCCTGCATTAAAATATTACATATATATTGTCATTTCTCATTTCATTTAAATCTGTTGGCTGTTTGTAATTGCAACAGTCTTTTTATATTGATTCAAGTGGTAGTATTATTACTCAGGACAAGTGTTATATTGCTATGCTAATGAAGACTGCTCGTCAAAATGCATAAATATGTGTTTTATTGCAGTAATTGAGATTACAAAACACAGCTGATGAAGTTGCAAAGGTGTTTTCAATGAAAACTGTGACAAGGGCAATATAGTACATATATATTATGCCATGCCGTTTAGGAAATGAATCTTTGAATATATAGACTGAAACTTGACTGGTCATCAAGGCACTGCTGCCATCTTGTAGAAGTGAGAATGAGTCAGTCAGGAACCTTGTGGCAGCAATACTGATCAATGAGGACATTATTAACTCATTGGCAAGTGCTTGTATGGGCCAAGATCCTCCCGATAGTACCCGTGCCCCATACCGTTCTCCTGACGAAGAAGTTCACTTCCTTTTTAATGGTGGCAGGCCGACTACAACAGGCCTCAGGCTAAATCCTGACAGAAAAAGCAAAAAAGTTTTCCAGTTTAAGAAAGTATTGTAATATTTCAACTGATGCCATTTTGTAAAACCAGCTAATTCTGAAGGCTATCACTTTGATGAAAAGGATACAACTAGGTTTTCAATTTCATTCAGTATTCTCACATTTTTATCAGTATATCCAAGATTCATTCCATATATCCAAAGATTAATTTCCTAAACGACATGCCATAATATATATATATATATATATATATATATATATATATAATATAGACATTCAACATGTCAGCAGACACCTAATCTATTCACCTCATTTTTTTTAACTTGCTGCCAGGTCCTTTTTATGGCCAGACAAGTTTGTTCTTTATGAAGGATAAAAAGATAAAATAGATAAAAACAGATTAAGTGACACACATTGTGGATAATTGTTTGCACTTAATCATACTCTACATTTAAGTAACATGCACCTCTACTTGCCACATTTAAAGCAAAGTGTACAACAGTTGATTAGTGGACTTAAAGTAACTCCTTTAGTCCTTTAATTGGAGCCTAATTATGACAGTTCCAGTGGAGCACTGTTTATTAATTGTACAGTTTTGGACTACTTAAGCATTAAGCCGGTCCGCTATTGTCTGCCAGGCTTTCTCTCTTTCTTTAATTATGGCATTGGTATTGCCTTTTTTTCTTATATCTTTCACCTCTTCATAGAACTCCATCAGGAGCTGTTGTTCAGCGGCCGTGAAATATGAAGCGCGACTCTTATTCATGTTCCTATCGGTGATTCTGTGAGCGATAGCGAGGTCTAGTTCAGTATGCCGTGAACGCGCACTTATCCCGACTATCTACACCTGGCTTAACATAGCCGCGCCTTTTAATCCTGGCTCGGCAAACGTGCAACCAATTAGGCCAGGATGCACCGAGCAGGCTAGGTCAAGCCACGCTTGCTCAATTATCCTGGATTTCTTTATCCTACTTTTGTGCAATACCCCTCGGAGGCTGCACTTTCAGGACCGGATTTCTGGGACCGCGATAGCACTTTTAAAGGTTTATTCCACCCAAATACTACTTTATTCAAATACTTATAGTTTTAAAGGTTTATTCCACCCCGACACTTACAATTCAACTTATTTGCTAAGAGTTACATGTTGGGCAATCTGTGTAATTAGCTCATTATACTCAGGTAAATATGGATCATATGCTATGCCTTTACAGTCAACTTGAAAGGTTGGAGAGAGACAAAGCAATAAGTCTGGGGACAGACTGAAGAATTTATATATATTTATAAAAAACAAACCAAGAACAATACAACTACTTTTTGCTGAAGAGCGGGGTTAGGAGGGTTAGAGGTACAGGTACAATTAACAATTATCTGTTCAAAAATGTATTCACTTACCCAATCCAAGTCACAAAATTAAAGTTATGTAACTAAATTACTTTCCATTACTTTTGGATTGCCTCAATATCAAATATGAAAATAAATATCGATAAGAAGTATTGATTCAAGTGTATTCTATAAGAAAACAGAACAATGTAACCTTATAAAAGAAAATGGAAACAGCATCCCAACTGTGACTTCTGCTTCTTCAGGGGTGGAAGCTAGAGAGGAGTTTTTAGACATCAAATATCTAAATCTATGTTGAGTGCTAATAATGATGGGGGGTCTCAGAATGCTATTTAATTTTATAATGGCATTCTACTGTTTGCAATGGAACGCTAGAAGCTTGTTTGGAAATGGACAAGAATTAAAAAAGTTTGTAGCAGAATCTGAAGTCAAACCTGATATTGTTTGCATTGAAGAAACTAACCTTGATTTTATTATACCTGGGTATGAGTCTGTCAGGTTTGATTTAGGTGAAAAACCAAGGCGGAGGTTGTGCAACATTTTGTAAGGAATGGGATATCATTCAGAAGAATAGCAACTTCAACAGAAATAGACCCTTGTTAAGCCTAGAACCTTAGAGGAAATAGTAAGGAGACAAGGAAATAGGAAAGAAATAAAGTGCAGAGACTTCAATGCGCATAATAGTCTTTGGGGGACTAAGCATACTGACAATAATAGAGAAGTAGTGGAAGAACTGATGGAAATTGGTACAAGAATTGACATATGTTCCAAGACATTGTCTTGTATTGACCTTACTTTAGTTTCTAATAATCTAGTAAATACTTGTGAGTGGAATATTAAAGATAGTACAAGTATTGGGAGTGATCATTTTCCAATAATATGCTCTATAAATATTGAAATAGATATTCAAAAAAGGCCCAGTCATAAGAAGTGGGGTTTTGCAAAAGCAAATTTGAAGAAATATGTTGTAAATCAGCAGGTTCCATTTCAGTGAAGGGTGACATTGAGGTATGTGCATTTGAAGTTTCATAGTTTAATCCTAAATGCAGCATTGAATATCGTACCATTCAAGTCAGTTGGGGGGGAAAGGAAAACAGTCCCATGGTAGAAATGATATATGTACAGAAGCTATTAAAGAACGAAATAGTGCACTGAGAATGTTAAGGAATATTTTGAACCAAGAGAATGTAATTATTGAAAAAGGCTCAAGCTCAAAGAGTAATTAAAACAGTAAATGAAATGCATGGAGGAGTTACTGTTCTACAATGGGGAGAGAAGTTAAAATAGGAGAGGTATGGTCAATGCTGAAGAAAATGAGTGGAGAAAAAAGTATTTACTATTAGAGGATGACGGAACATTAGCAATAACAATTCAATTCAATTTTATTTGTATAGCGCCAATTCATAACAGAAGTTATCTCAGGACACTTTTCAAATAGAGCAGGTCTAGACCGAACCCTTCATGACATTATTTACAGAGACCCAACAGTACCACCATGAGCAAGCACTTGGCGACGGGGGCAGTGGCGGTTTTGGGCATGGGTGAAGCGGACAGCCACCCAGGGCGGCATTTTTTCATGACACACGGGGGGCGGCACAACGAGCCCGAAAAATCCCCTGCGCCACAAAGCGGATTTCTATCATATATCTGTTTTATCATATCACTGTGTGGGGAATTGGCAAATTGGCGCCTCTGCTTGATGAGAAGGTGCCGTGTGAGAAGGGGAAGGAGGAGGGGGGCAGTGGACAGTTAACCTCTGGGTCTCCCTAATGGAACGGACAAGGGGGGGAACGGGGGATCCACTGTAAGTCAGTCACACCTCGACTTTCTTACAAATAACGCACATTTCATTCATAATATAATAAATACAGGCCTATAGTTCACCACATTTTTCTTTTTCTGAATTGGGTGAAACAAAATAGGTAATACAAAACGATTTAGAATATTTATTACATATATTATTTATACATTATATGTAATATTATATATTAATTCAATTTCATTTCAATTCAATTCAATTCAATTTTATTTGTATAGCGCCAATTCATAACTGAAGTTATCTCAGGACACTTTTCAAATAGAGCAGGTCTAGACCGAACTCTTTAACATTAATTACAGAGACCCAACAGTACCACCATGAGCAAGCACTTGGCGACAAGGGCAAGGAAAAACTGCCTGTTAAAAGGCAGAAACCTAGGACAGATCCTCCGGCTATAGGTGGGTGGTCGTCTGTCTCGACCAGTTGGGGTGAGAGAGAGAGAGAGAGGCAGAGAGAGAGAGAGAGACAGACAGACAGACAGACAGACGAGTGCACAGCAACAACAGTATTGGCAATGACAATCTAGCAGGACCATGGCAGGAGGCTCCACCAGGATCGATAAGAACATGCGAGATGAGAAAGCACAAGAACTCCGGGGAAGAAGTGGAGTTAGTAACATGCATTAATGGAACATGAAT